AAACACACTGTGACCCATCCAGAGGTTTATTTCTGTCTAAATCTGTCTTTATTGTGTATCTGTAATCATTGTCTGACCAGGAATGCTTTTTAAAATGCTAAGTAGCATGGCTAGGACTAATTGGCTCCACCTCATCCAACATTGGCCAAGGTAGGTTAACCGCCAGCTCTATGAGCCATGCTTTCCGTTCACATTCAGGGATGCTGTAGGTCTATGTAGCCATTAAGCAAGTTGTAGTACTCTGCTCACAAACTCCATTTAAATGCTCCATAGCCAGACCTCCCAAAAGAGCCAGAACTGTTCCTGCCAGTAGAAACCAGGAAGTCATTTTTTAAAAGGGGTTGCATCTCTGCTTTAAGCCAGAAAATAGAGCCTTTCTGAATATAATGTGGCCACCAAGAAGCTGCATTTGGCTCCTATTTTGCAGATCTAGAAGCACTCATTTTAAGCTTTCTTAGGTTTTATGTGAATGTACATCGCCAAATGTTCAGGCACCATTTATAAATGGAGACTACTTGTCCATTTCCCAACTGCTCTGACCTGACAGAATTAATTACAACACTATTTGACCAATAGCTTAGTTGTATTTCTTTCTAGCTCTTGCATCTTGAATTAACCCATTTCTGTGTAATGGCACGAGGCTGTGGCTTATTAGTAATAATCTGGTATCTGTCTCCTTTGGCAGCTACATGGTGTTTCTCTGATTCAGCCTACTCTCTCTATATATCTCTTCCAGCCTGGCTATATTTTCCCTGATGTAGGCCAAAGCAGTTTCTTTATTAACAAATGATAATAAAACATATTCACGGCAAACAGAAGGGAATCCCACATCATCACAGCATCAAATATAAACATCCTAGAAACTTTCACAGTCTTTAGAATGTCAAATACTTTAAAAATCTCCATCTTTTAAAATATACAACATCTCTTGATCTACAGTGTGGTTACTTGGTGCTTTGGATATTAAGATGGTAATTGCTTTGTTTGTTCCTGGCATCATGGTAAAAATGTTTTTTTGATGTTGTTGCTGCTGAGTGATGGTGACACTTGTCTTTAATCCCAGCAGAGGTGGGTAGATCTATGTGATTTCCAGACCAGCCTGGTCTATTAAATGAGTTCAAGGACAGGCATCAGAGCTACACAGAGAAACCCTGTATCAAAAACAAACAAACAAACAAAAAGTCTTTTGCTTTCTTCCCCTCCTTTGGATTGGGGTATTTATTTAGAAATCATGAGAAATAAACACGGGCAGATTCAGCATTCACTGAGTTGCCCTCCTGATACTGTCCTACGCCTTTGTATTTCTTTGGTATCTCTGTCTATTCTGCCTAACATTTCTGATCCACGTGCCCCTACCCTGGAACGTATGAACCCATCGAGGTTGGACCCCAACAGAACATACATATATTCAAGCATACACATGTATTTGAAATAATTAACTAAACTCATTTAAAAAAGAAACTAATGTTGTCCACTATATGACTTTAAAAAAATTAGACAACATTCATTGGACTGTATTCCTGGAAGCAATGACTAATAGTACATAGCAAAAAAAAAAAAAAGGCTTGTTTTCTAGAGAGAACTTCCTCTTTGACAATGGGGGTGGGGGCACTGGGTGTCCAGTACATTTAAAAACTTAAAGGAATCAATTGGGCCAGAATCCTAAAAGAAAATAGGAACCACAGTGTCAATGAAAGGTGGAGGCCCAATCAGAAATTACCCACGTGGATGACATGTGTCTAGGTTAGGATCCCAGGGCTATAGGGAGTCAGTGCACGGCAGCTAATGTGATCATCACTGAACTTTGGGATGGACACTGTAATGATGCCAAGATGCTTTGGTGGTAAGAGTGCTGGTTATACAACTTGCAAATCTGACCACTGTATGGATATCTGAATAAGTAATTCTGAACTGTCACTTTGTTTAAAATAACATGGCCATGAATATCTTCTATTAAATAACCATGTAAATTTCTATAACTGAGATTGCTAGGCCATGGAAAACATGCATGCATATATGCACTTTAATAAACATCCCTGGCTTTTCTCCTTCTTACTGCTAATAAGACTTGTTCTTTTAGACCTTACTTTTTGGCTCTTCATGGCAGTGAGTGGAAGGAAGACATGGTTTGGTTGTAAAAGTGAGCCTTGCAAATCTATTTTCACCCTAAAACCAAATCAGTAATTGGGCACAGTTGTATGCTGGAATGAGTCTTTTTCTGTCCCACCAGTCAACTCCCAAATAGTGACATGAAGACTTTTTTATTAATTATGAAATTAGCTCAGGTTTGTTTCTAACTAGCCTTAACTATGACATAAACCAACTATTTACATGTGGTACTACCTCTCTTCCACCTTGCATCTACCATTTCCTCTCCCTGCCGTCTCTCCTGCATGTCTAGATTCATCCTCAGTCCTTCTTTTTGCCCAGAAGTCCTGCCTATACCTCCTGCCTAGCTGTTGGCCGTTTGGCTCTTTATTAAACAATCACAACAATTTATCTTCAAACAATACAAATATCCCCAAACAGTATGCATGTATATGTATGTGTGTACACATGTGAGGATAAAGTGTGTATGCACATGCATATGGAGGCCCAAGGATGACCAGTGCCATCATCAAAGATGCTATCCACCTCCTTTGAGACAGGCTCTCTCATTGACCTGGAGCTTGCCAATTAGGCTAGACTGGCCAGAGAGCCTCAGGGGTTCTCCTTTTGCTGCCTCTACAGCGCTGTGATCATAAGGATGAGCCACCACACATAACATTTTCATGCAGATTCTGGGGATAGAATATCTAAATGTTTGAGATGTAAACACTTTACCAACTACCCCCTCCCTTTGCTTCTGGGTCTGTGCAATACAAAACAACTTGGTTAATTTTTCTAGGAATATACCTTTAACATTCTCTAACTTGTTTGAAGTAAGGGGAGGGCATGCTTATTCCTTGTCTAAGACATAACCTGTCACAGGCAGGGTGGTTTGAACAAAGATGTTTCTGACAGCTCTGTAGCTTGGCAGTCTGAGGTCAGGGGACAGGCAGGTATGCTTTCCCTAAGGCTTTCCTCCTCGGCTTACAGGTGGGTAGCCATCGTTTCCCTGTGGCATCACACAGTATTTCTTCTGCATTCCTGTCTCCTTTTCTTCTCATGAGGGCACTGGTTATTGTCTAGGGGGTGAGGATGCTACACTAATGGCTTCCTTTCAACTAAATCATTTCTTTAAAGACGGTCCCTGAAAATATATTATGAGATACTGAACGGTCCCTGAAAATATAGTTATATTTTGAGATACTGAACATTACAACTTTATTTGAAAATTCTGGGGTAGGGGCACAAAATATTAATATTATTAATAGTTTATTATGAGATGTCGTACTAGGGAGGCAGCACTGGGCTAAATTTAACTGAACTGAAAATATATTGGATAAAGTCCCAAACAGAAACACAGTCAACATTTGCCAGCTGTGGGCTGAAGTCAAGGAGGGAAGGCAACCAGCGGTGACCATGGAAAGACATGAAGTGCTAGAACAGAAGCTGGTTATAGTGCTGACCCTCCTCCCCGCAGAGTGGATGGCAGGAAAGAGTGTCTGGTGTATACAGAAAAACGTGGGCGAGAGTCTAGCCAAGTAAACTGCCAGGTATCACAAAATAAAAATGCAAAGCGATGGACAACGTCTCAGCAAGGTCCTTGGGTAGATGCTGTTCACTCATGAAGGGAATGAGCTAGGAATCTGCCTTAGCAAGACGGAGAGACTGCTGGGAAAATTCAGCATGGTGTTTATGAGAATAACTAGTGCTTTTTAATAATGCAAATAGAAGACGAAGCACATAGTTATTTTAAAAATAAATGCATGATTGTAAAAACCTCAATGGTTGAATGTATATCTAGTGGTAGACCAAATGAGCTAAAGTCTCTTTGTAAGTATTCTCATCGTATCTTTTTACCTCTCTTTTGGTCCCCTTCCTTTCCATCAGAAAACAGAATCATACAATATATCACAAAAGTATAAACAACACACTGCTATACAAAGCTGTGCTCAAACCAACACACTTATCTGCCCTTCTGCCTTCATTTTTCTGACCCCCTTTGGGCAGAAATTCGGGCAGTATCGAAGCTTTAACTTTAGTTTAACTTCTGCATCTTAGTCTTGCATGTGTAGATCACGTCACGGTCATGTTTTCTGCCCATTAGCAATGTCTCTGGAATAGATTGCTATCCATACTCAGGCCAAAATGTCTAGTATGTGTTTCCCTCAGATCCCTACAGATGAACGGCCAGTGTCAACCACCAGGGGGCAGGCCCTGATGCCCGAGACAGGGAGCCTTAACACCGCAGTGAAGCTCTGATGCGGCACCGTGTCTGTTGGAGCCAGATTCCGGCTCTGGCGCAGTTGTTGGGTGATGTTCACCCCAAAATCTGATTAATTGGAGATTTGGAATTTTCTTTTTCTCCCTTGGTCCATCGAGAGCTTTGCAGAGAGTCTTCTCTCCAGGTAGTCTGCGTCAGCCTTCTCAGGATGAGGTTCGCCTCCGAGGGCAGTCATCCCTCCCAGTTACGGGAGAAGCTCAGCTTCCCGAGGGCCTTGCCTCCGGAATAGCCCCACCCCTAACCAGCCTAGTTCTCTGGATAGCCCACCCCCCAGGACAGCCCACCTTACCCAGGCCAGTTCTCTGGATAGCCCACCCCCCAGGACAGCCCACCCTTACCCAGCCCAGTTCTCTGGATAGACCACCCCACAGGACAGCCCACCCTTACCCAGGCCAGTTCCCTGGATAGCCCACCCCGCAAGACAGAACACCCTTAACCAGCCTTGTCCCCTGGTAGCAAGGCTCCTGGAAAAAAATCCGCCCCTGAGAAGCTCCGCCCTGGATACCCAAGACGGCCCCGCCCAGGGAAGCCCCGCCCAGGGAACCCAGCTGGACAACTCTTCTCCAGAGAACCTAACCAGCTTCGGTGATGACCCTGCCCACCCCGGGAGGTCCCGCCCCTGTGCCGGCCTTCACCCGGACAGCGCTCCTCCAGTCTGCTGCTACAGTCTGCAGGCACAGAGGCCTCCTCGCGTGAGTATTTTAGTCCTCGCGTGTTCTAGAGTGGGGCTGGATGTTCGAGCACCTGGGCGACTCTGGAGGGAACCCCTAAAGTGTCAGGAGGCTACCGGACGCCATTCCCGACAGTGTATCTTCCACAGGTCTGTTCCTCTTTTAGTTTCCATGTATCTGGTACGATTTTCTACTTAACTCAGAACTGATTCATCTCTGCTCTTTACACTGGAGCGGTGTGTGTTCGCGCGTGCAAGCGCATTTAGTTACAGAGTGGTGGGTGGGCCTGCCGTTTCTGAACAGATTGCCCAAGTGGTTTTTGTGAAAGAACTTTCTTCTCAGACAAACTTAACATGACTTAACATTGAACTTGGAGTTCCTGATCCATCTGAATTTCCCACTGTTGACTTTCCTGAGAATTGCACCGCAGTGAAACGGGATGGAAAGTGGGGGTGGCGGTGGTAACGAAACCCACATAGACATGCCAAGGCTCACATAACAGACTTTCACCTCACAGGGAGTGGCTGAAACGAAGGCTCTGGAGTTCTTAGTCAAGCATGCTGAATGAAATGCATACTACAGGCTCAGGCCTGCTTGTGGTAATGAGAGGAGACGGACAACATAAGCTCTTGACAGTTCATGAGAACAGGAGGAACAAAGGAGACAAGAGGGGCACTTGGGTCTGATCTGTTCAGGTTCTTCCCACTCCTTGGAGGCTTTCTGGGGAAGAAAGCCCTGAAAATCCAAGAGAATAACCTGGGGAGGGGGACTAGGAAGGAGGGAACTGAACAAGGTGAGCGCTGGCCCTCTAGAACTGAACCTGCAGAGCACAGCCCTATGAGGGACCCTCTCAGGACGCTCCTCCGTAAGGCACTGGGCAGGTGTCTATGGTTCCCTCCAGTATACCTGAAGCTAACTTAGGATATCACAGCCTTAGGATATCAGCTCACAGCCATTGAAGGACTGTCCTGCCAGTCATGTGAGTGGACAGGAGGTCCCTCATGGGGAGCTATTCAGATGTGGGGATAGAGAAGTTGTGTGGGGCACCAGCTATGATCCACGGCAGCACTCATGGAGATGAGAAGCAGAAGAAGAGAGGGCCCCTCACATGGGCTCACTGAGCCTGTACTCTGTAGTCTAATTTGTAAAACAAGGGAGAAACTCCCAGGGAGTACTGGAGAAGCTCAGCAGCTAGCAGACAGCCTTCCGCAGGTTTGTAAAGATCACTGGCCAGATAGTGGGCAGATTTGCTCATCTGGAAGCCATTGGCAACATCCTGACAAGTCATGTGACCCTTTTGTCTGACCAAATCTAAGAAATACTAGGTCAGCTCCTGCATTTTATCCACCAGGCCATTCAGGAACCTGTACCTCCAACCTACCTCAGGTCCTGTTCGGGCCTTTGCCCTTGACTCTATGGCTGCCTAGTTGTGCCTCTTACCAAAATGTTCTTCCCATTCCCACAGCATTTCAGGTTTCAGCTTCAAGGCCACATTCTTACCAGGTCTTTCCTGTCAGTCAGTCTAAAGCAGCCTTCCAGTTGGCGGGTCTGTATCTCATCGCCACATAGCATCTGGAAATTGATGCCTATTTATTTATTATCCCGCCTTATTTATCATCCTTACTCTTCTTGTGTATTTGAGTTATGAAATTGGGATTGTAATAATGTGCTTGCCTTTTTTTTTAAAACAGGTTCCTCAATCCATTTTGACCAACCCGAGTCTCTGCTTCCTCTGCAGCATCTGCAAGAACCATGGCAACAAATACTGATGCTGCTTTTGAGACCCTCATGAATGGAGTGACCAGCTGGGATCTTCCCAAAGAACCCATTCCTAGTGAACTCCTCCTTATTGGGGAGGCTGCCTTCCCAGTGATGGTGAATGACAAGGGCCAGGTGCTCATTGCTGCCTCTTCCTATGGCCAAGGCCGCCTGGTTGTCGTATCCCATGAGGGCTACCTGCTGCATGCTGGCTTGGCCCCATTTCTTGTCAATGCAGTGAACTGGCTCTGCCCCTCGCCAGGGGCTCCCATCACAGTGCATTCCTCCTTGGCATCACTAGAAAACATCCTAGGTGACTCTGGTCTAGAGGTGCTGGTTCAGTCTGAGCCTGCAGAGGCTCTGGGTATTTACTGCACTGATGCCTACAATGACAGTTTGACTGAGAAGCTGGTCCAGTTTGTGAAGTGTGGTGGGGGCTTGCTCATTGGGGGCCAAGCCTGGTATTGGGCCAGTCAACATGGCCATGACAAAGTGCTGTCCAGTTTCCCCGGGAACCAGGTGACAAGTGTGGCTGGAGTGTACTTCACAGATGTCTATGGAGATATAGACAGATTCAAGGTCTCTAAGAAGGTACCCAAGATCCCACTCCACGTCAGGTGAGTGTGCCACTACAATGTCTTAAAGATTCTAGCTCTTTGTAGATAACGCTGGTGTCCCCTCTTCAGTGTGTGTCCATTTGAATGCAAGCGATTATTTTTACTCATTATTCTAACTGCTGCAAATCCAAAACATGGTCACGAAAATGCCTCAAGGTACAAGAAAAGCCAGTCCACCTAGCCACTCCCTTCTCTGGAAAAGCAATCACTCACTTATGAGAAAAGCTCGCCCTATTTAGGACACTGACTCATTTAGGACAGTCTATGTTTCAGGCACTCCATGTGGAGAAACAATGATTTTTTTATCCCTAAATTGCTTGTGCCTACTTCCAAGTTATAGTCGTTCTTTCAGCAGAAAACATGAGCCCCAAAGCATTATCTGACACCTTAAATGTCTCCTGACATTAAGTCTCAGCACCTAGTTCTCTCAGTGGCCTCAAAGAATTCCCTCTCTCAACAAAGAAAACCTGTTTTTCCTCATCTCCACCTACATTTTCCATCTCTGCTACTAAACCTGAAGCTTCCTGGCTTTCTTTTTTTTAAGTTTCATTTTCTATGAAACTTAAGTATTCGCAGAACTAGAGAGGCAGTAAACTATTCCTCTGGGCAGTTGTGGCCCACCCCTGAGAATGGTCAGCTTCTGGTCAGTCTTACCATCTAGTGCAAGAAATTAGTCAGCAGAGGAAAATGGAAGAATACATGCAGTTCAGCTTCAAAATGGTAAGAGCAGACTTGATTGCTCTGAGGAGTTGACTCCCCCAAGGGCTGGACCTTCAGTACTGGAAGGTCCAGGAAAACATGATAAGCAGATTCTGAGAGTCACCTTCTATACTGGAGAGTGGTGGGTGGGGGTCTGCCTTCAACAGGCCCTTAGCACATACAGGCACATAAGCAATAAACCAGGTCACCTGCTTTGCCACTAACTAGCTCCAGGCTCTCAAATTCCATGGACAGCAGGTTTCTGTAAGCCTGTTTTATGGCCCCCAGTTTCAGGGTAGGGAGTTTTTCTTTAATCTATAGCTTCATTTCAGATTAATTTGGAATAAATAGCACACATTGGTACCCTCTATCTGCACTGCCATATTGCTCCACAGATAAGAACTCTTGTGAACACAACCACAGGGATGTCACCAATCCTTTCTACATCGCCAGGCTTCCATACAGTTTGGTATGTGAGGTTTCAGGTCATTCATGTGCATTCCTTATCTCAGAGCTGCTGTCAGTGACTTTTCATGTGAATCTGTTCCTTTTGTTGGATATGTTTATTGTAGTATGATCATTTTCTATAGACCTTCTATGTGATCAAAACTAAGAAAGATCTCCGTGTTTTGGATCAATAAACACGCCAGCATTTACACTGGTGCTTCTCATTTGAATTTAGAACAACAGGGATTTTATTTAATCTCCATAGTCTCTTTGAGATCTGTTCTTGTCTTCTTCCATTTTGTAAGACACCAACATAATAAACTACTTGCTTTACCATAATATACACCCAACAGTTGCAAAATCCAAATGATAAAACTAGCAACAGCAAAATAATTGTGGGATTGCTGACTGATTGATGGGAATCCCAAGGGGTATTTGCTAGCATTGCTAAGTTTGCTTTGTTGGTTTCCTAAGAACAGGTATAGAGAAATAGAGAATTCCCCTTTGCAGGGAGAGTTTCCCAAGAAGTTGACCTGTACAGAGAATAGTGTGGGGAAATTCCTTAAAAACTGCTTTCAGTGTGGAAAAAGAAGAAAGGTGGGACGGGGTGCAATTGGTAGTGGTGGTGGGGGAGAAGGTAGGCAAGTAGCAACATATATTTATTAGCAATAAATCATAGCAATGATTATTTCCTGTGCCTTTCATCCCTGCAGCATATTTTCCTAGGGATAGATTAAGTTAGGTCACTGAACTTTGATGCCCTTTAAAACAGTTCCCTTTTCTGTGCTTATATCACTGGGTACCTGGAAATGTCTGGTCACTTGTTGATTTGATTTTCTTTAGAGTTATGCCAAATAGTTCTATAGTGCAAAAATAAAAGTTTAAACCTATATTCTATCCCCACATGCAATTCCCTCCTCCTCTCCCCCGCTTAAGTCAATTAATGCTGCATCATTTCTTTATATGCATGAGCAGACATTTACATATGTATCAGTATTTGTCTATTTCTTTGAGAAGCAGTGGAGCACACTATCCATTTTTCTCCACTTGCTCTTTCCACTCAATAGTAGTTGGATTATCAAGCTGCGCATGACTACGTAACAGAATACCAAGATACCCTGAATGAGCTATTGTGTTTCTGTGCATAGTTACCATATAATCTATTCTTAAGTTCCTTAATGACAGACTTGAATTTCCAGTATGAGTTTTTATTTTTTTCCAGTATTTTTACTCCCACAGAGGGGCTGCAATGAATATCATGAGAGACACATCTTTATGACCTCACTGTGTCCGTGGAGTTGGAATGGCTGGCTGATGGGGCATGCATGTGTAATATTGTTAACACTGCCATGTTACCACTGTTAGAAACTGGGCTCCTAAGGAGCTTACACAGAGACAGAAATTGGTATGCAGAGCCCTCAGTAAGAAGCATCCCCAGTGGAGATAAAGAACAAATACAGGGCAGGGACAGAAAGTAAGGGATGAGGCAGTATTCAGTACATATTTCTTAGTGACACTGTCACTATCAAGTGAAACACAGAAAGACACATTGTCTGCAACAGAGGTCTCTAATAATCTGTAGTGTATACTGCAGTTACAGAGTGGATGATATGCGGCCATTAGAAATCATGGGCCTCAAGGGGAGAGAAAATACTCACAATATAGTAGACAATATTAAGACATGCAGTTCTGTTAAACGATGCCAAATTCATGGCGATAATACATGTGCAGATGGAATCTGAACATGAGAAAACAAATGTGGAAACAGGCAGTGTATAACTAGTGATTGTTTCAACTATAAACATGTTAAATTCTCAGCAGTTTCCCTGTAATTACAACATTAAAATTACATTTTAAATAACTTCACCTTATTAAAGCCCTTGGCAATAGGAAAATGCTTCTTGATCACATTAAAGAACCATCCTTTCACCTGATGTCAGGCTAAAATGTCCCTTACAGGTGTGTGCATCAAAGGCCTGAATTTTTGGCTCATGAGGGTTCTGACCTTTCCATCAGGTTAATCAGCTGATGGAGTAATAATTTGATGGTCTTACTGGGGAGTGGTAGAAACTAGAACATGGGCCACTGGAACACTGAAGGAATTCCCTGGAAGGGCGGAGCTTGTTCACTGTCTTTTTCTTTCTCTCTGTCGTACCGTTTGCTTCCAGCCATCTGGAGATGAGCAGGGTTGCTCCAAGGTGTTTTCCAGCTTGGTTGTGCTGCCTCAGCACAGGCCCAAAACAAGGGAGCCATCTGACCTGAGCTAACCAAGAGCTGAAATGAACTTTCCTCTGTTGAGCTATTTTCTCCAGGGATTTAGTCATGATGACCAAAAGCTAGCTAACACAATTTATGTTGAGATTTATTTATTTATTTATTTGGATTTTCGAGACAGGGTTTCCCTGTAGCTTTTTTTGGTTCCTGTCCTGGAGCTAGCTCTTGTAGACCAGGCTGGCCTCGAACTCACAGAGATCTGCCTGCCTCTGCCTCCCGAGTGCTGGGATTAAAGGTGTGCGCCACCACCGACCGGCCCTCTTAGCAATTTTGAAGTATACAGCAGTATTATAATTGTGATCATGGTTTGTGATAGACCACTAGAATTGACTCTGTCTAACTTAAACTTTTACCCTTTGGCTAATAAGGATATGAATAGAAAGTTATAATCTGTTTAGGACAGTTCAAAGTCATATTTGGCAGCACTGATATGCAGAAAATGCAAGCTGCCAACTAATCTAAAAATATGTTATAATTTCTATTAATATAAAATCTATATATTTTACATAAACCTACATTTTACATATGTCCATAGAAAATACAAAAAATTAAAATACTCACTAATCTTTATCAATTAAATTCTAATGTATTAACAAATACTTTCAGAAATAAAAATGACATTAGGTGTTATTTTTATAAGTTTAGAGCAAAAACAAAACTGTGAAAAGTGGTTTTCATAGGTATAAATCATAATCATCAGCAGTTGGTAGATCTCACTCCATTTTTTGTTGTTCTAGGAAAATAGATTCCCCTTAGTAAGCAACTTTAGGTGTAAGTTATTTTTTTTAGTTCATTTCATAAAGATCAATTAATGTTAGTAGAATTTTAGTGTTTCATTCTGGGCTTCCATAATGTTATTCTTTGATATGAAGAATGCATTTTTAGATGTGTTACTATGTAACTATTCACTTAATCTCTTGGTAGTATTTCTGAGATAGCCAAGAAAGACTTAACTAAAGTCATAGTGTTTGAGTCAGAGAGGCCTGAATCTGAACCCCAGTTTTGCACTTTTCTTGGCCTTTTGCCCATGAGAAAGTTGGCTGACCTCATTAAGCACCATTCATGCTATTGACTAATTGATGCCATGTGTTTGAGTGCCGAAAGCTATGAAAGGAACAACCCCAAATGGATTTTCTTGTTATTCTGTCTCTCTAGTATACTGTATCTCTTACTTCGTTCATATGTAGTTTGCTAAATGCCTGTTAAATTCTACACTTCATTCTTGGCAAGGATATTTAGACCTTAACACAGACGATTTCTATGAAAGAATTTTTCACACTACTACTTTTCATAATTTAAAAAACTGAAAAAAGAGCAATACCACACTAAAGTAGTTGAATGTTTGGAATTTTCATTAATGTCTCTCACAAAGTATTTACTTACATGCGTCTTTAGACACTGTGCGACCAGTTGTCATTACACACTCCTACTTTGTGTTCTGTTTAAAAATAATTTGATGTTTAAAAAGAATCTCCTTAATGAGAATTTTTCGTCACAATATAATGTCAAAATTTTTCATAACAACTTAATTAATTTATTTTGTTGAATGTGCAGAACTTTATAGTTTTGTCCTTTGAGGAAGAAGGAAAGGAACCCTATAATCATTGCATGATCATGTCACATCTTTAAAATAGGCAAACACGATAACATTCAACTTAAAATGTCTTGTTTTATTAAAAAATTTGAGGTATCAAGGTATTTGGAATCCTTGTTATTAAAAAAAATCTAAACAATATATGTCAACACTTGACTTTCAAGGTGCTTTCTCTATCATGCGTCTCTTAGCTCTTAAGATGCAGATCCTCCTTATACAAACTCGACATGAACACTCTGAGAACAGAGCCCTCTCCCAGCCCTACTAAACCAGAACTGTCTTGGAGTTCCACTTTACCATAGTTCCCAACTCCTGGGCACATCACCTAGCACTGTCTCCATGTTAGCCACATGGCCACTACTTGCTAATGTTTCTTCTAGTCTGCCAGAATGTACAGCTTGGACAAGGTCTGAATGTCATCTGTCCTGCCCAATGTTTCATTCCGTCACCACCTTTGGGTCTTGATTGGTTTTGTTTTCCCTGTCAGTTAAGTCTCTAAAAGACAAAATCTCAAACATAGTATATAGTAGCAGACAGATTCAACTGGTACAGTAAGGCTTTTATAAGAGGTGAAAAGGCCAAATATACACAGAAATACATAGCAAAAATCCCTTCACAAAGCAGAGCGGGGAGGCCTCTTCTGGAGGTCTGGGGTGTTTTTTTTTTTTTTTTTAATCTTTGAAGGATCTTCCTTCCCTAGCTTGTGGTTGATCAGTTTGAAAAAAGACAGAATAGCAGATCTGCCCACATCTCCACATCAGTGTAGTGGTCTGTCCTGTCCCTTTAAGAGACAAGCCCTGCACCTCCACCCCAGTCAGATTTTCCCTCAGCTTTCAGCCTTAGCGCTCTCTTTTCTGTCTCTCTCCTGATCTCACACCTCCCCCTTCTCTTTCTCTCTGCCTCTCTGCTCTTCCCCTTTCTCTCCTTCCCCCTTCTCCTTTTGTGGTCTCCCACCCACTGCTTGTGGCGACTTGGGGACCTGTGCCACTTTTATCATTGCAACCAGACATGAACTTGCTGAGTCAGACCCTTGGCAGGGCCCCTACTGATGGGAGCAAAAGCCACCACACTTTTTTTTTTAAACTGAGAGACTTTTGTCTCTGGTTAGGAAGGTGAGGAAGAAACCAGCCATGTTGGAATTTCAGCATATTTATTATTTTGCTATGCCTCTTGTCCTAATTCTCTGCCTACCAGGGAAACTTAATCCTCGTCCCTAATCATAAGTGCCCCATGTGTGAAAAATCAGAGCTCAACAGTATTTGTAAACTGTATAAATTAATGAAAAACATATTAGGCAAAGCTATCACGGGAGAAAGGGTGCCTGTGCCTCCAGTGTTAGAGCTGCAGAGAACTTTGCATTATGGAAGATACTACAAGACTGGGTTTCAGTAAACAAGGAAAAAGGCTGACTACACCTTTAAACTCTGAACTCTGAAAAGATCCCTAGCTTAGGTTCTGCTTCTTACAGCCTTGCTGTTGAAGTTTCTGTAAAGTCCCCTGCTGAGAAGTCTTGGCCAAAGCACCTCCCTCCCCAAACCTGACAGGTTCCTTATCTGCAAATCATTGCTGAAAGGTCCTGAAGGCAAAGAGATTCTTTTCTGCATCACCCACCCAGCTTCATCTGCTTACGGGAAGGGTGGGGCCATAAATCTACAGAGCTTCTTCCCTCCTGGCTCCTAGAGCAGTTGAATACCTGTTTGTACTGATTCACCCTCACCACAGTCTTGTGGAGCAGAAAGATCTTTGTCCAAGGACCTCAGGTTGTAATCAGCTTGGTTCTTCTTTCAGAGTTTTGTATTTCATATAATCCATAAACATTGACCATTGCCAGGTAGGAATTTGTGTGAAACAAATGGCTCAAAGTCCTGTAAAAGATTCACAACCAATAGTAATGCAAAATTTAAACCTATGACTGGGGAATAGCACATAAGCAGGTGGACATGGAAGGCTTTGCTAGCGATGCTGTGGATGGCTAAGGTAGATGCTGCACCTAGCCAAGGACTGGATTACTTTGCTAGTGCTGCTGTAACAAAGGACACACTTCTAAAGCAGTAGAAATTGACGATCTCATGGCTTTTGGAGGTATTACCTGAGATGAAAATATTTGTAAGTTAATCCCTCCTGAGCATGTGGGAAAGGCTGTGCAGTGCGTTTCTCCGATTCACGTATTTTGAAGGCCATCTTTGCTGGCCTGTCCTTTGATTTCTAGAAGCATCATCTTAGGGACATCACTGACCCTTGGTATTCTTCTTGATGCTTGCTCAGTGTTCTGGTCTCCATTCTTGATAAGGACACCAACCATATTGAGGCACCCTACTTGAATAAGGTTTGGTCCTTACCTAGTTAGCTATGATGCCATTTTCAGTCAAGGTCACATTCTGAGGTGCTGTAGTCTACACATCAACATATGGATTTAGGGTGGAGTGAAATTCAGACCATAAAAATGACTGATAATGTATTCCTTGTTTATCAGGTACAGAGTCCATAATAATCAGATCTTAGTGTATTCATATGCGTTAAACAATCACTAGCACGTTAGTGGCTTCCCATATATCAGACACTATATTAACTAGTGCATCAGTGAGTTCTTTTAGCACAGGCGTGAGACTGTTCCACCTTGACTAAAGGTCAGAGAGTTTGAGCTTACTTTACTCTTCCAAGCCTATTCCTGCTCCTTCATTTTAAAACAAGAAATTTAATATAGGGAGTGACGCCCCACAGGATACTTGGTCTAGAGTGTATTCGCTGCATATCCTGCCCAAAACATCAAAGGCTTTACTCAGGAAATAATGACTTGATCTCTCAAATATTGAAGTAAGTACTGTTCTGGTTGTCCTTTGTGAGATGTTAAAGCAGTCTTTTGCCAGCTCCCCCCCCCCTCTTTTGTATTGGGATATAAAAGCATATGAAAATTAAACACGGGTGAATTCAGTATACAGTATACACTGAGTTGCTCTCCTGGGACTATGCTGTTTCTCTGTGTTTCTTCCATGTCTCCGTTCCTCCTACCTAACATTTCTAATCCACGTGTCCCTGCCCTGGAACATATGAACCCATCTTGGCTGAACCATGACAGAAATCACCCAAATCACCCCAAAAATGTGGCTTGCAACAGTTATCTAGTTGGTCTAGAGTGCCAAAATACAATGATCACACTTTGACTAGTCAAAACGCTGAGTGAGGCGCTCCCTGGATCTTAGCAGCTGTGTGCAAGCACAGAATGCAAACCTTCAGGTAGCTCTAACAACCACTCCTCAGAAAGCTCCCACCAGCAGCTCAGAGTTCCAGAAGCCAGTCAGGAGAGGATGGGGGAACACTGAGGGTAGCCTGTCTTATTGTTGATTCTTGTAGCTCAGTGTCAGGACAACTCAGAGTAAGGCTTGAGCCTCTAAAAGGGGAAAAACAAAACTGAACCCTGAACCCACATGACACTTGCTGTGTCCATTTGAAAATGAGACGATGAAATGAGACACCATGTTTGCTTTGCTCTGCGCTGACGTGGAATTAAGGAGGAACACAGCACAGGATAGACTTCCTTTCAGTGGTGTTTAACTTGTTGCTTAACGCACTTACTAATTTTACTTTTAAAAGTACTTGATTTATATTTAAAAGTACACTGTTTTTCAAGTTGAAATGATAAAATTATATAAAATGATTTAAATGACCTGTAATTCTAATAGTCAGGATGATTCCAGGAGACATTTTGACAAATACGGGCTAGATCTTGTTTCAATGTCTTGTTTTTATTATTTTTGAAGTTTAGCATATTTTAAATTTGGCTTAGTGTCTTGGGGGTCTAATTTTTACATTCCATCCAGCCTTCCCAGTACCGTATAATTACTTGCTTACTATATAGTGTTAACATGACTTATTTATCCATCTCCTATCGTTTCATTCTTAATGCATCTAGAAATTATTTTTTAGATTTTGAAATACAAAACCTTTTAAAAATATATGTTTAATGTTAACCACTTCTCAGTAAAAGATAGCAAATACTCCTGTCAGAATAAAGTAAGAATTTTAATATTTTTGCATTTACTTATTTAGTGAGTGTGTGTGTGTGTGTGATGTACATATATGTGTGTGTATGAGTCTGATGTGCATGTGTGGGGAGGTGAGTGGGTGCACATGCCATGGTCAAAGAACTTTCAGGAGATGGTTCACTCCTTTCAGGGATTGAACTCAGGTCATCAGGGTGGGTGACAAGTGCCTTTATCCTCTGAGCCATCTCACCTGCCCTAAGTAAGATTTCTAAAAGATATATGGCTATATAAAGTAAACCATAAAAAAGCAATTTCACTTGTAACATGCTCCTGCTTCTGAGCAAGCCTGTGGAGAGGCCAGTGTGCTGTGCCTACACTTTAATATCTCACTCCAGGGGAAGCAGAGCATGAGTCTTGTCTTTCTCCAATATGCTGGGTTTTCCAGCATTGTTTGTACACTTTGAAAATGTTCGAGATATATGAAATTTGAGCTACAATATTCACTTGGACAGCTAAAGTCAAGAATTTTTGAAGGGGTTTATTTGGAGAATGTGTATTTTAATATATATGAATAAGACCACTACCTCTCTCTTCAAATTTATGATAATCTCAATTATGAGTAGCACTGGTGTTCAGTGTGTTGCTAAGGAATAGCAAACATGAATGATATGTGATTAATTGTGAGATGATGAAAAATGCACTATGTTGATAAGACATACATTATTAAATTCCAAAATAATATTAGTAAAAAAACAAAGATTGTGAACCATGTCATCTTTCTCTACTTGGTGGGCTAGAGTGAGCGGCTCATTAGCTGAATACAGTTTCTTCAGCTCTCTCACTTTCTTCCCAGGTGTTGGGAGGAGATTGAGCGTGACCAGGAGCAGCTTCTGGATGGCATCTCTGAGTTGGACATCAAGACTGGAGGTGTCCCTTCACAGCTGTTGGTGCATGGGTCCCTGGCCTTCCCTCTGGGGCTCAATTCCTCCCTTGGCTGCTTCCTAGCAGCTGCCCACTATGGCCGTGGTCGTGTGGTATTGGCTGCCCACGAGGCCATGCTCTCAGCTCCTAAGATGGAGCCCTTTTTGTTCAATGCTGTACATTGGTTGGCTAGAGACCAGAAGGACAAAATTGGGGTGAACAAAAGTCTAAAGAATCTGCATTCCTTATTGTCGGATCATGGCTTGAATTGCAGTCTGGAGTCCCATTTGACCAATGACATGTGTGTCTACTGCTGTGGGGCTTATAGTGAC